TAATTCCAACCGCGATGTCTACCAGCAGCTTCAGGGCTAGTGATGTTTCAAGTGGTAAGATTATGAGCTTTAATAAGTAAAATTATCCTAGCTACTCCGTTTACATGAACAAAAGTAATCGGATTAAACGGCTGTTCGGAATAAAAATGCGTCACGTAAACAGCCCGTTCCGATTATTCTGATCTGATTGAGCTCAATCCGAATGAATTTTTAATCCTAATGAAAAGGGTGGGTTATGCAGATTGATAATCAGAATGAGGTTCATGTAAACACTTAATCGGATCATCTTATTCTTATTGTAGAAAACTGACCTGTGCACATGTCTGCTGACATTCATTCACCCGTTAGAGGAGGTGGGACAGCAGCACTCCAGCTTCGCAGCACCATGCAGAACTTTTCCTCCACGCTCTCTTAACAGATGAAAAAGGAGGCAAACAGCAGACGTTGCTTCACAAAAATAAAAATAAAAAACACGTATTGCTTCATCTGCTGCTGAACCGAGGAGTAACGGCGTCTCTACCGTTATTAAAAGCTGACACGGATCCGTCCTGAGCGCACAGAGGAGCTTTGTTTACGTTTGTAACACAGAAGTAGAGCTGAACATTTACAACACTGCACATGTCCGGACTTTTATTCTGAATAAAACTCGGGTGCATGTAAACACTTTTCATGATCGGATTGTGTCCATGTAAACAGTACATTTGGATTATTTAATCTGAATACATTTCAATCCAATTAAAATATTTTGTGCATGTAAACATAGCAGACAACAAATATTACATTTATAGTATTACAACTAAAACCGTTTTTGACACCGCCACCTCAGTTTGTCCTTCATGAGCCTTCGTAAACAAGATGGCGGCTGCCTGTGTGGCGACCCGCGACCATGGAGATATAAACAGCTTTTTATAAGGTAAAAATAATAAAACAAGGTCTTTGTCTGCAATGATTAGACATGTTTTTTTATTATTGTCATTAGTGATTATCTCAATTTTGGCTAAAAGAATTGACAAAATCCGACCCACTGTGCCTTTAATAAAACCGTGTGTACGCATGTTTCTGCACACCTTTCTTTTATAGATCACAGCTGCACGCAGAGTTTGCGTACAAGATACCCGCCTCAGGTTCTGTCCTCTATACCCCCACACTCAACCATAAACAGTCGATGCTAAGTACCTCATGAATGTTAAGGTGTATTTAAATCAGTCAGCAGATCAATGTCAAAAAAAGTGATTGGCCAGCTCAGACACGGCTCAGTTGTGCGTCTGGACGATGACAGGTGCTGACAACTGCTCACGTGAACAGATTGTCTGTAATTGACGCAGATTTCCCCTCATTTTACAGGTTAACATATATGTTTGGAGTAATCTAACAATTTTGTTTTTGAAAAACTCAGCTTCAAATGAATTTTCTCTCAGAGCCTGCAGGATGATAAAAACAAAATCAAATTATTCAGATAAAGTTAGAAATACAGTCCAAAAGTTTAGACACACCTTCTCATTTAAAGTTTTCTTTATTTTCATGACTATGAAAATTGTAGATTCACACTGAAGGCATCAAAATTATGAATTAACACGTGGAATTATATGCTTAACAAAAAAGTGTGAAACAACTCAAAATATGTTTTATATTCTAGGTTCTTCTAAGTAGCCACCTTTTGCTTTGATTACTGCTTAGAACACTCTTGGCCTTCTCTTGATGAGCTTTAAGAGGTAGTCACCTGAAATGGTTTTCACTTCACAGGTGTGCCCTGTCAGGTTTAATAAGTGGGATTTCGTGCCTTATTAATGGCGTTGGGACCATCAGTTGTGTTGTGCAGAAAGTGGATACAGTACACAGCTGATAGTCCTACTGAATAGACTGTTAGAATTTGTATCATGGCAAGAAAAATGCAGCTAAGTAAAGAAAAACAAGTGGTCATGATTACTTTAAAGGGGCAATATCATGGAAATCAACTTTTTTGAGTTTTATATCATGTTATAATGTTATACTCTCGTAAAAAAAAACATGGGAGTACCATCTCCTAGCAACCGTTCCAGCCAATACAATGAAAGCATTAAAGTGGGCGGAGACAGCCTGCCCCTCAGGTGTGTTTTAGGCTCAGATCAAAACCACTGAACGGAATTTCAGGCACTGGGACTTTATTTGATTTTAACGTTTAATTTGTCTACTTTCTGTGACCCAGAAGTTTGATAAGGAGCATCAGCAAACAACCACTGTTAGCTCGTCCACACACTTGGTGGAAGAAACGTTAGCTTGTCACCTGCTACTATTAGAAATAAATAGTTTTATATCAATGCCTGTGCCACAATCAAAGGACCATATGAGCCATGAATAGTTATGCTGGGATAGATTTAATTTTTTAATGAGTAGAACAAGACTGCAAACACACAATAGGCTACATACTAAATATATATTTATTGTTGAAACCAAACATTCAATACCCTGATCCATATGTCTGCACTGGTTTATAACGTTATGCATATTAAAAAATGTTTAAGGCTCTTTCTGGTATAACGTTATAAATTCTCAGATGGTGTTAAAATGAAAATAATTCATGAATATTTACAGTCCAATAGAACAAAGTGTCACTTGTTTAAAAAAAGTCATGTTTATTGTAACATCCTCCTTTCAAATTTTAACAAAAAAAAGTTTTGTTGGCAAACATGAGCTTTAATGAAAATGGTATGAATGAAATACAGACTCCTGGTTTAAATGGTTATTCATTTTATTCACTTCAACTGTAGTACATAAAACAACCAGCAGATGTTACTATTTTAGAGTGTATTCATAGACTTAGATATATAGATCAATAGACTGAGTCCCGCCCATACTGTCCACTGGTAGTGTCTGTGACAGCATGGAGGAGCAGAAACAGACCTAACAGGACAACAGCTCACAGCCTCCATAGAAACTAATAGATAAACAGCAGCTGAACTGGATCAGTTTCACAGATTATCTGTCATGTTTTTACAATAAATTAATAATTATGTTAATTTCATTCAACAATCATGTAAAACAGCAGATTTATACCAGAAAAATATTTAATTTACAAGCAATAATGAACTAAACCAGACCTGAAGTCAAACTGTAATTTAGACTTTAGCTAGTTGAAAAATGATGACTTCAGCTAGAAATAAAGTACATTTATTATTTCTTTTCACTGTCATAAAAAATAAGAATATTTGTATTTACTCGTTTCCGGTGAGAGTTGGACTCCGCCAAGGCTGCCCTTTGTCAAAGATTCTGTTCATTACTTTCATGGACAGAATTTCTAGGCGCAGCCGAGGTGTTGAGGGGATCCGTTTTGGTGGTCTTAGGATCGCATCTCTGCTTTTTGCGGATGATGTGGTCCTGTTGGCTTCATCGGAACAAGATCTGCAGCTCTCGCTGGAGCGGTTCGCGGCCGAGTGCGAAGCGGCCGGGATGAGGCTCAGTACCTCCAAATCCGAGGCCATGGTCTTGAGCCGGAAAAGGGCAGAGTGCCTTCTCCGGGCCAGGGGGGTCGTCCTGCCTCAAGTGGAGGAGTTTAAGTATCTGGGGATCTTGTTCACGAATGAGGGAAGAACGGAGCGGGAGATCAACAGGCGGATTGGCGCAGCGTTTGCTGTAAAGCGGGCGCTGTACCGGTCCGTCGTGGTGAAGAGAGAGCTGAGTCAGAAAGCGAAGCTCTCGATTTACTGGTCGATCTACGTTCCTACCCTCATCTATGGTCATGAGCTTTGGGTCATGACCGAAAGAACGAGGTCCCGGATACAAGCGGCCGAAATGGGTTTCCTCCGCAGGGTGGCTGGACTCTCCCTTAGAGATAGGGTGAGAAGCTCGGTCATCCGGGAGGGACTCAGAGTAGAGCCGCTGCTCCTCCACGTCGAGAGGAGCCAGTTGAGGTGGCTCGGGCATCTGGTAAGGATGCCTCCTGGACGCCTCCCTGGTGAGGAGTTCCGGGCACGTCCCACCGGGAGGAGGCCCCGAGGAAGACCCAGGACACGCTGGAGGGACTATGTCTCTCGGCTGGCCTGGGAACGCCTTGGAGTTCCCCCGGAGGAGCTGGAAGAAGTGGCTGGGGAGAGGGAGGTCTGGGCCTCCCTTCTGAAGCTGCTGCCCCCGCGACCCGACCCTGGATAGGCGGAAGAAAATGGATGGATGGATGGATGGATGGATGGATGGATGGA